AACATCATTACTCCTTTTGCCACATCAGCTCCTTGGATGACATCTTTATTTTTAAAAATAGTCAAGACTGTTGACTTCACCATCTTGTACTCTGAGGCCAGATCAGTCACACGAATATCATGCTCATGCTTTACTACAATTTCCTCCTTCAATTCAATGGTTATTTTCTTCAAAACCTTCTTCTTACCATTCTTGCTCTGCACTGTCTTGTTACCTTCATTATTGCTGTACATATTCTGATTACTTTCATTACCACTCTGCATTTTCTTTTCACCCTTATTGCCTCTCTGCATTTTCTTTTTACCACCATGCTTGTTCTGTATTTTCCTTGGAGCCATGATGGATTGAATAACACTGTACAGTACTGTATGTGCTAAAAAGCACACAAAAAGCTTCACAGCAAGTGTGCACAGTCTGTCTGTGACCGTGATCCCAGCTAGCGGAAGCCACGACCACGCATCAGAGCAAGGAAGATGGCTGAGTTCATGTTCATGCAGGGAAGATGACCATGATCATTTTTGTCACCTGATGAGGAGTTCATGAATGAAAGCAAAAATTTCCTGAACACTTCTGTTCACAAACTAAATTTTTCACAAACAGAAGTGTTCATGAACTGAGGTATTACTGTACTAATAAAATTTCAAAAAAAGCATTGCAAAAGAAAAACATCTGTTTTTATATGTAGCATAGGCTACAGATTAAATCTTAAATTTCCTTGAACACCATCATATTTGACATTGAGTGGAATGTCTAGCTTGGCTCCTATCCATACTGTTCACCACTCTTTGCATGCTTTTGTTTTTTTGTTTTGCTCACCATTTCTTTCTTGGTGACCATCCTGTCAAAGCTATTGATTGATATGGATTTATTTATAAGGAAAACCAAATAAACATCGTTACACTTGCAAAAACACATTGAGAGCTGGGAACAGGGCTCAGTGGTCAAACATGATCTTAGCATGCTCAAGACAGCGCTGCAAAAACTAAAGCCAAACAGAAACCAAAAGCAATGAAACACTCCTTATTAATAAAAAAAAGGTGGACTTTTGTTGCTTGAAACAACATCGATAAATCTCATAAAAATCATGTTGAGTGAATGAAACAAAACAAAGAAAATATTGAATGATAAAAAAAAATCTAGAAAACGCAAACAAATCTATAGGGACAGCACATCAGTTGTTCCCACAAGTGAGGTAAGGTGTGAGGAGGACAGGAGGGAAGAATTACAAGAGGCACTGAATATGTTCACTATCTTGGTTTTGGTGATGGTTTCATGAAGATATTCAGTAAAATCTTGGATTGCAAGTAGCTTGTTCTGGGGGTGTTTCACAAGACGAGAAAACATTTCTAATAAATTTTAACTTGATAAATGAACAGTGTCTTCCAACATAAGTAGTACGTGACACTTAACATCACTTGATCAAAGTGAGCCAATGGTTCTTCTCTCTCTTTCTTTCTTGCTGCAGGATTGTGGGTGATCATCTCCCAACAGCAAGAAGTTATGGAGGAGATCTTGTCTGAAGAGAAGGAAGAGAAAGAGGCAGAGGAATCTACACTTCAATTGAGATTAGAGAAATATGCAAAATGTGGGAAATAGTGCAAAATTTTATAGAAAAGCACTACTGAATAAGGCTGTAAAAGTACAAGTGATGAATCTGTTTAACAACAATGCAATGTCACATTTCCGTGAAATCTTCAGAAGAAGGCAAAAGCAAGCATCATTGGGTAGGTTCCTTCTTAAAGTTGCATGAAAAGAAAGATTCCATTGAGCCAATATATATCAGTGATTCAGTGATACTAAAAGGTGTCCTAAACTCTCATCCCTTGTCTCCTCTCTCTTATCTCCTTCAAACAAGCCACAAAGATTTTCAAAGGTAAGTGCAGGTAAATTTATTTTTCTTTATATTTTGTACTTTATTATTTTGTATTATATTACTGTATTGTAATCATTTTTATGTAAATTTGTGGAACGAATCTCAGTTTACATTATTTTTTATCTAGAAATTTGCATTAATATACAAGTGCTTTGGATTACAACCATGTTTCTGGAATGAATTATGCTCACAAACCAAGATATACACACACAAATATAATATAACATAATATTATATATCTTATATGTTATATTATGTAATATAGTATATGTTATATTATGTTATATAGTATGGGTTATATTATATAATATATATCTCTCCAAAACATCAAGTTGTACAATTTAAGTGTGAAGTATCCTGTACATTAATTATACCTAAATGAAGCTGTTGACATAAAATTCAAAAATGGAACTTTGGTAGATAATTGGTTCATTTACTCATTTATTTGGCTTTTCTTTCACTGAACAGAACTTACTGTTTCTAGTGAGTGTGATAGCACACATCTGTAATCCTAGCACTTGGGAGGCTATGGCAGTAGGATCACCAAGAAGCCCAGGCCAGCTTGGGCTACATAGTGATACCCTGTCTCAAAAAAACCAAAACAAAATGAAATTTAACATCTAATTATGCCGGAAGATAAAAGAAGAACAAGAAATGAGATAATCTGCCTTCCAGGGTCGCAGGGAGTCAGGCAATGACAGTTCTACGTGATATTTCTGTTAGATGTATCCATAGGAAGCTAAAGAAATATTAGGATTTGTATGTGTGTACTGGGGAAGGCTGAGGTCTAGAAGATGAGGAAGAACATGTGGGGGGGTGGGCAGTAGCTTTTTTGTTTTGGTTTGTTTTTGGTGTGTGAGGCAAGTGCTCTCCCACTGAGCTACACCCTCAGCCCCTGCTTTCTGTCTTAGGCAAGGTCTGGGATGAACAAACAAGGTCTGGTTGTAAAGGAACAAATTGTAGTGGAGAGGGAAGAGATGTGTTCTGAAAGGGGCAGGGCAATTAAGTAGGCACTGATCACTAAAGGGCCAGAAAGATATGATGGGACACTTGGCTCCTCCAGTGAAGGCCAGTGAAGCCAGAGAGGGTTTGAAGCAAGGGAGAACAAGATTCAATGGCAGAGCGTAGGAGCACAGGCAAGTCAAGCTGAGGAGGATAACTAACATCTTGTCCTTAGTTTGGCTATGGTTAGCAAGTTTAAGTAGCTCTAAGCCCTGCTCCTAATTCTTCCTTCACCATTGGGCTATCTTCAATTGTTCCCATCCCTGCCCCGCTATTCCTTTAGTTCTGCCCTCTTGATTGCATGCTTATATTACCAACTGGTGGTCTCTCTGCCTTCAGTCCTGCTTCCCTATGGCCTAAAGTTAAAGTTATTATTTGCTACCCTTGACTTAAAAACATTTTTTTCTAAGACTCTAATCTAACCCTCACTTTTTTTTTGAGACAGGATCTCGTTACGTAGCCTAGGCTGTCTTTGGACTCACTATGTAGCCCAAACTGGTCTCAAACTGTAGTTATCTTCCTGCCTCAGCCTCCTGAGTGCTGGGATCACAGGTATACACCACTATGTCTGGTGATTGCCACACTCTTAGCTGAGCACCTGATCTTCAGCCTCCCACCTTGTTCCCTCTTAACACTGTATGTTTCCAGAAATGGCAGTCACTATAATGCACTCAAAGTGCAGGCATTCACTACCTGCACTTTGGAACTGCACTCAGCACTCTAGTTAGTTATTTATTTTGTGCAGAGCTGGACATTGAACCCAGGGTCTCCTGCATGCCAGGTCAGCATGGTGTACCACTGAGTTACATCCCAAGCCAGCAATTTACTTTCATCTCATTAAATCTTTCCAGGGCATTATTATTATTGCTATTATTATTATTATTATTATTATTATCAGATGAAGAAGGTCTAGTAATGGGTCTGAAGACATTCGGCTAATAAGTATAATTTTTGGGAGGATCCTGGGGATCGAACTCATGACCTCACACTTGTTGGGCAAGCAGGCACTGTGCCACTGAGCTACATCCCCAGCCCATAACTATAATTTAATAACCTGTCACAAACAAACAAAAAAACCTTAAAAATAAATTTGAGTAGAAAATAATTGTTTTTTGGGGGGAGGTGGTAGCAATGGGGATTGAACCCAGGGCCTTTGCACTGACCTACATCCCAGGCTTAGCGTGTGTGTGTGTGTGTGTGTGTGTGTGTGTGTGTGTGTGCGCCTGTGAATACCTCCCTAAATCACTAAGTCTTGGGCATGAACTTGCAATCTACCTGCCTCAGTTTCCCAGAGGGCTGGAATTACAGGCATGTGCCACCCCGTCCAACCAGGAATAACACTTTTTACTTGAGAGGTCAGTTACTAAAGAACTGGCTCTCAGAACAAAATCAGGGAAAGTGTTTAAAGGCAACAATCAAGTTAGGTTAGAGAATAGCTCAAATTGTTGTTAGATAATTGAACAAGTCTGCCTGGATGCATTTGGGTAAATTTTGATGAAAACAAAATCCTTCCCTCCCCCACTTGCTGGACATTGAACCCAGGCCCTTCAATGTACTAGGCAAACACTCTACCACTGAGCTACACTCTCAGCCCCTCTTTAAAATTTTATTTTGAGACAGAGTCTGATATGTTGCCAGGCTGGGCTAGAATTTAGGATCCTCCTGCCTCAGCTTCCAGAATAATTGGGATTACAGGTGTATGCCACTGAGTTCCACTTAAATTGGTCCTTTCTTTCTATCAAAAAACAATAACAAATCCACTGTGCTAGAACATGGAAGCTGGCTACAAACATCTGTTAGACATGCTGATCTGAATATGGATCAATGTTTATTGTTAGTATGAGAATCAGTAGTATGTGGAAATAAAAAGTTGTGGCCCAGAAAACAAAGGTTTAAATCATAACTAATTAAAAGAAAAGGCAGCTCCTAAGCTTGTTGATGTAGGTCATAAAAACATCTGTCAGTTATTGCAGATGAAACTAAAAACATTCTGGAATGCCAGGGGTATAACCTGTCAGCAGGAATAAATGGGCCATTTGTCTAGGAGGCAAACGGTCAGCATGCAACTGGGGCTATTAATTAAAATGAAAAGTGTCATTTCCCCTCAGTGGTTCCTAGGGATTCCAGTTAACCTGGAAAGCTGGAAACCCATTAAGCTGTGTGCAGTGCTAGCTTGTAGAGAGCAATGACAAAGTGGTAAAAGAACTTACAGGACCAGGGTAAAAAGAAGACAAGAGTTTGTTTAGATACGCAGGCACTGCCTAGAGGGACAGCTGGCCAGACAGGGAGATCCACTCCAGGAAGAGCAGCAGTGCTGGTTTTAAAAGGAAAAGTGTGGTGTGGACAAAGCAGCCTGGACCCAAGAACAAGGGGAGAAAGGTGAGGGAGGATGGGCCATGCACTCTTGGTCTCCTTTGGGCTGGAGATAGTGCAATATCCTTGTGAAAAGACACTGTTGGGGATAGGGCAATATGACTGTATGCTTGTTACAGGAAGAAAGGTCCATGGCTGTTGCTCCCATTTCTTTTCTTTTCTTTCCTTAGTATATGTTTGCATTATATAATCATGACATGAATCTTGGGGAATGGGTACACATTCATGTTACATCTTAATCAGTTTTAGTTCCCCTTACCCTCCTCACCCTCCCATCTCCCCCATTCCCAGATCCCCTTCCCATCTCCACAAAGACTACCTCCCTTTTTCCTATCATTTGTCTTTTACTTTGCTCATTAAATTATTTATACTGTGGATCTTTCATATAAGAGAAACATATGATATTTAACCATTGGAGTCTGATTTATTTCACTTAATGTTATGGTCTCAAGGTGCATCCATTTTTCTACAAATAACTCAAATTTATCCTTTATTGTGTTTGTATAGTACTCCATTGTGCATATACACATTTTCTTTATTCATTCATCTGTTGATGGGCATATAGGCTGCTTCCATAATTTAACTATTGTGAATTATGCTGCTGTAAACATGGGTATGCATGTATGATTGTTTATATGATAAATTTAATTCTTTTAGGAAGATAGCCAGAAGAGAAATAGCTGGGTAAAATGGAATTTCCATTTTCAGTTTTTTTTAGAAATGTCCATACTCATTTCCATAGTGGTTGTATTAAATTACTTTCCCCTAACAGTGTAGAAGGGTTTCTGTTCCCCTACAAATTTGCCAGATTTCTTTTCTTTTTTTTTTTTGACTCTTGATAATAGCCTCTTTTTTTTTTTTTTGGCATAAGATAGAATTTCATTGTTGCTTTGACTTCCATTTCCCTAAATGGCCAAATATGTGGAATATTTTTCATATATTTATTGGCCATTTGTACTTCCTTTGAGAAGTGTCTATTCATTTCAATTGTCTATTTTTATGGGGTCTTTTATTTGTTGGGTTCTAATTTTTTCTAGTTCTTTATATTTCTAGATATTACTACTTTGTCCAAGGAGTAGCTGCAATTTTTTTCCCATTCCATAGGTTGTCTTTGCACTCCATTGGTTGTTTCCTTTGCTGTGGAGATGCTTTTAAATTTGTTGATTCTTGGTATTATTTCTTGTGCATTTGGGGTTCTGTGCAGAAAGTCTTTGCCTATATCTATGTCTTTGGGAGTTTTACCTACTTTATCTTCCAGTAGTGCTTGCTTTAATATTTAGTTCTTTGATCTATTTTGATTTTATTTTAGCATAAGTTGAGAGATATGGATCTAGATTCGTACTTCTGCACTGACTATTCTGTGAATAGCTAGTTTTCCTAGAATCATTTGTTAAAGAGGCTTTCAGGCTGGGGATGTATCTCAGTGACACCGCGCCTGCCTGGCAAGTGCAGGGTCCTGAGTTCAATCCCTGGTACTGGAAAAAAAAAAAAAAAAAAAGGCTATCTTTCCTCTGCCATGTGTTTTTGGCCCCTTTGTCAAAGATCAGATAGCTAAACATGTGGATGTTTTAGGGCGAGGCTATAATACAGAATGCATAAACTGTCCCCAGGAAATTTGAAATGATGCAGGTGCTGGATGGAATTTTTTTTCCTACTCCATAGCTTTGTTCAGTAGGCCAACTGCTTGAATAAATCAGATGTCTAATCAATAAGTTATTTTCATGCTCAGAATTTCAGGTTTTTGTACTTCAGCATAGTTTGGTTTTATTCTTTACTGTACAAAAGCTTAACAGCAGTGTGATTTAAGATTTTGTTTTGCTTGGGGTGATTTAATTCATAGGTACTTTTAGAACCTGATAGATAATCCCATTGCCTTTGTTTTTCTAATTAAAGTATTCCTAAATACTTTGAAAATATAAAATATTTAAAATATTCCTGAATTTAAAAAAAAAATCAGATAGCTGAATGTGCCTGGGTTTGTTCTACATCCTCAGTTCTGTTCCATTGATCCTCATGTCTGTTTTTGTGCCAGCACTGTGCTGTTTTTGTCACGTGCTTGTAATATAACTTCAACTCTGAAATTGTGATGTCTGCTGTTTTGCTCCTGTTACCCAGGATTGCTTTTGTTCTTCTGGGTCTCTTCTGGTTCTTTATGAATTTTAAGACTGTTTTCTCTACAGTGAAGAATGCTGTTGGTATTTTAATTGGAATTGCGTTAAATCTATGTATCATTTTTGGTAATAAGGTCATTTTGAGAATATTGGCTATGCCTATCTTTCCACTTTCTAGTGTCTTCAATCGCTTCTTTCAGAGTACTATAGTTTTCATTATAGAGATCTTTCATTTCCTTGTTTAGGTTAATTCTTAGTTGTTGTTTTTTAAAAGCTACTTTGATTTCTGGTTTGTTTCTTTCTTGGTGTGCTTATTTATCAGTGTACAGGAATGCTACTGATTTTTGTGTATTGATTTTGTATCCTGCTACTTTGCTGAATTTATTAGTTCTATGAGTCTCCCGACAGATTTGTTTTGGGTCTTCTGCAGTTCCTGAAACAGCTCATCTGGAAGCAGAGTACTTGACTCTACTTAAGGCTGAATGGACCTCTTCCCGGTCATTAGTATTCCACTCTGCTGGCAGAAGCAGAGAACCCAAGTGACAAACTCTGATTTTGAACGGGTACCTGCAGCCCATTTTTCCAACTGAAAAATCAGATGCAGAAATGTGGCTTGCCATTTCTTATTTTTGGACAACTGTTCCTATTGAACATCAGAGCAGGCTTTAGTTTTTGTCAAGTGCAATGGTGGGTGAATTTTGGAGTGCTGAGCTAAATTCGCCAGGAGGATATCCGAGTCCAGTTGATAGGTGAGTATATGGAACCAGAACTTGAAGGATACAGGATGGACACAAACTCAGATTGTATATTTATAAAAATTCCTACAAAAGGGAGGATATATTCCATGATTTAATTGCAGTTAAATGTAAGCACCATAAACGGATCACAGTGTCTGTTATATTCACCGCTCTATAACCACTGACTACATGTGTGACTGGTACTCATTGTTTCAGAGTGATCTTTAGAAATCAGAATTTGACAAACATTGCACACAGGTTTAAACACTCTCTTATTTCCTAAATGAGGTAAGGACGCTCTTTGGTTCAGCACTTCCTGCCCATTTAAGAATGTGGAACGTAGCTTAGCAAACGCTAGGGCCTATATCAGTCAGTGGCAATGCAATTTTAAAAAGAAAAGAAAAGGAAGGCGAAAGTGCTGCAGGGAAGGAGGCGGGCCGCCCAGCCGCCACACTTGCGTCCCGCAGCCCTCAGCGGTCTGCGCAGGCGCAGGCTGTGTCCTAAGGGCAAGTCACAGAGCCCGATGCCTTCTTTCGCAGTGTGGTGTTGCGAGGCAAGGTAAGGATTGTGTCTGCCCTTAAGGGTGTTTGCAGGCCTGCTTTGAAGGAAAATAACGTGATCACAAACAGTTTTTGGAACTACCCCTCTCTACCCTGCCAGCTTTTCTAACATTTCGTACGTGTACCAAGAGATCACCGTATAATCCCTTCATAGCCGAGTCCCCTTTACTGCTGGCGGGGACGGGGGAAGCGTTGTGGTAGACAACGTGGTGGCCAAATACAAAATAATCTCCACTCTGGCCGGCGTTATTTTAACCCTGAATGCTGAATGATTGAGGGGACAACCCAGTACTGCGGAGCAGAATTAGTCGAATAGATGCCAGGCCGTCAGAGACCCCCCCCCCCCCGCGCCACGGGTTCCCAGGTGAAAACCCCTGTTTAAATTGCACGCGGAGTCTGCACCCTGACGTGAACTGCCTCCCTCCCCTGCCCTTGCCCTTATGTTAGAGTCCAGATGAATCATCAGTGTCTAAAAGTGGAAGCTCATGTGCAAATATCTGGATTATTTTTGAGAAGTTACAAGATCTGGCCACAAGTTCCTGCCTGGCCCCTTGGACTGATTACAATCTCCACTTTGCCACAGGCCTTCTGTTACCCCACAGACATCCTGCATCCTTAGTTATCCTGAATTCTGGCTGACCCGTGCTCTGCTTGGGTGGTGTAAGGGGATTTATGCAAAACAGCTCAAAGTACCAAACAGCTGAGTGTATGCTTTAAGATGCTTCTATTCCTGCTTATGTTATCAGAGTGTTTTTCTTTTGGAACCTTTCAATCTAGGCTTGGTAAAGTTCAGTCATCAGCGATATTTATAGAAAGATTTGGGATGTTTGAATTGATGTCCTTTTATTATAATTAAATTCTTGAAAATAACTTGATTGCATTGTTTTATGATAAACAATTTTTTTTTAAGAAAGCATCATAACATGTTGCACTGGTTATCCTTGAATTCATGGGCCCAACAGATCCTCCTGTCTCAGCTTCCCAAGGAGCAGGGACTACAGGTGTGTCCCAAACCTGACTGAGATAGGATAAGCTTTAATGAAATAGTGTGGTCAGTATAATTTATTAATCCTCATAACTCTTGACTAGACTTTATAAAAGTGAAAACTGTGTTTGCCTTAATAACTGTTGTTTCACCAGTAAAATATAAACTTCCTCAAGATGGGGCACTTTGCTTATTTTGGGTGTTTATTTTGTTGAGGAATTGGCTTTTATTTTGTTCAAGCATTTGCCAAGCATGCCTGCTTGGAGATTAATGATTTGTTCCATGTATGAAAGAACTTTAAAGATATAGCTTATTTTACAAGTTGTGATTGAAATATATGTTGAATGTTTAAATTTTTTAAAATGTATCACAGTAAAAGACACACTGCCATTAGTCCCCCCAAAACACTCCCCCTCACATTGAACACATTTATGACATTTTTTCTGCCATTTTCTGAAGCAGTTCTGTTAAGTCCAGTTTCCTGAGTGTCTTTATGAAGTGTGATAAAAAAAAAATATATGGTGAATGCTGCTGCTGAGTGTCATCCAGTGGAAAGACAGGTTGGTAAAAATGTCCTCTTCAACCTTATTCACTGTGCAATGTATGACTTATGACTCCTCCCAAAAGTCAAAATGACCATGACAGGTAAACATTTTGAATCAATTCAGGGCATCAAGGCAGCCACAACTGTGACTAAAAATACTCCCAGAGAAGTTCTTCCAGAACTGTTTCAGAAAGTGGCAAGAGTAATGAGATAAGTGTGTTCAAAGTGAAGGGGAATATATTAAGGGAGATTAGTGGCAATGAATCTCTTATTGTCATAATTTTTTTAAAAAATTTAACATTTCACCAGGTGTGGTGGTGCACAAATGTAATGTCAGCACTCTGGTGGCTGAGGCAGGAGGACTGCCTCACATTCAAGGCCAAGCTGGGCTACACAGTGTGTCAAGTATTGCCTGAACTACATGGCAGCAGCCTCCCTCAAAAAAACAAAAACAACACACACACACACATACTGTATTTTTCGATCACACCGTATATGTAACAGCCATATTCCTGAAGATTCTCTCAATATGAAATGCTTGGAGATCTATCTTTCTGAATTTATGGTACTGGGTGTTGAACCTAGGGCCTCCAAGCTTCGCTACATCTCTGTTCCTTTTCTTATTTTTTAATCCTGAGACAGAATTTTGCTGAGTGGCTAAATTCCCTAGGGTGGGCTCAAACTTGTGATCCTCCTGCATCAGCTGCCCAAAGTGCTAGGATTATAGGCAAGTACCACCACGGCTGTCTTTTGTATGTATTTTTTACTTTTTTTTTTCCCAGTGCTGGGGATCAAGCCAGCCCTCACACACACTAGACAAACTTTCTACCACTGAGCTACATACTCAGACCTGCTTATATATTTGTTTTTCTAAATTGTTGAAAGGATTTCACTGTGAAAGGGAACCAGAATATTGGTGCACTGAAGCTTTCATCTGAAATGAACTTGTACTTGTGAATTGTCAGACAGAGTTTATACTAGAATATTTTCTTATTATGTGATAGAATCTGGAAATGTTGGTTAAGCTTGGAATTTTCAGTATCGTTTTTGTTTTTAGAGATCCAGAGATTCCAGTGGGGATCAAATGGGAGACAGACCCAGGTTCTTTCCTGACGAGGTGCAGCCTTACTCTGAGCGCTTCTGAGGGCCTGATCTTTGGGAAGAGACTGATGGCTTCAAGCCTAGGTTGGAAACGCTGGGGTCTCCTGCAGGCTGTGGCAAGTTGTGGCTTCTTCTTGTTTCCCTGGAGCCATTGTTCTCGGAGAAGAATGGGAAGCTTTCTGGACCCTGAGATAAGAGCCTTCCTGGAGGAGAGCACCGAGGTCACCAGCAGTGGCAGCCTTACCCCTGAAATCCGGTTGCGGCTTTTGACTCCCAAATGCAAGTTCTGGTGGGAGAGAGCTGACCTGTGGCCCTACAGTGATCCTTACTGGGCAGTCTACTGGCCAGGAGGCCAGGCCCTGTCTAGGTACTGTCCTATCAAGTTGGGAACCTTTAAGGCTGTTGCAGATCCTTTCTCCTTACAGTATCTCCAACTTACATTCTCCTGCCCCACACAACAGCAGAAGTCCAAATTTATGGAGACCTGTCCAGACCCTGGTCTGTCTGTGGTTTGGGAGCTATCTGCCCATAGGCCAAAGGGGAAGGCTTGTCTTCCAGGAAGATTAAGAGGTCTTCTCCTCCAGAAAAGCTGCCTAAGTACAGTAATCACAGTTATCCAGGTGGCTGAGGCAGGAGGATTGCAAGTTTGAAGCCAGCCTGGGCAACTCAGTGAGATTCTGTCTCAAAATTGAAAAAAGGGGCTGGGGATATAGCTCAGTGGTACAGCACTTGCCTGAAAAGACAAGACTTAGGTTCAATCTCCAGTTCTGGAAAAATAAAATTTTTTAAATCCACCCCTAAACCCCGAAGTCTAATTCCTTTTTCTTTCTTTTGCTTTCCCTCTCTGTACTAAGGATTGAACCCAGGGCATTTATACTAAGCTACATCCTTAGCCCCTTTTTAATTTTTAATTTTGACACAAGATCTTGCTGAGTTGCCCAGGATGGCTTCAAACTTGTCATCCTCCTGTTTCAGCCTCCCAGGATGCTGGGATTAAGGGTGTGCACCACTGTGCCCAGCTTGTCTTCTTCCTTAGCCTTTTTCTTTTTACTTTGTTGCATAGTTTTACTTCCTTATCCAAGTTTATCAATGCATTTCCCCAAATATAGCTCCCTCCCCATGAGACATTTTCAGGCCAACTCTGAAAATGTCAGACGTCTGAGAGATCTAGAAGTCACACATTATGCTTAGGTCATGGGTATGGCCACTGCTGAGTTCCCAGATGGCACCTACAGACCCACTCTTTCTCTCATCCTACGTTAATCCTGTGATTGTCAGTCTCACCCTCATATGGTTGCTTCTCCCTGGAGCAAGAAGTGTGAGTGGGGTCACTCAAGGCTTCCCTCTTCTCTGGGGTCATTGATGTCTCAGGTGAACTCTAGATTCAGATCTGCATGTTTAGGGTCCCCCACCTTTCATCCTTCTGTGCTGCAAAGTCTCAGGGTATTTTCTCACGTAGTCACACTGTGCTTTTCAATAAAACACAGCCTCTGAAGCCAAGGCCAGAGCTTTTAGCATGTTGATCTGGTCCTTGTTGGAGCACTGTTGATGATTTAATCTGGTTATGCCTTGAGGTTATAGAACTGTGAAACAAAGAGGATAAGGGACTTCTTTTTCACAGGAGTTGTGTGGCCTACAAAGTCAAAGTTGTATGGAGAGTTTTTTTGTGGAGACTAGAATGGGGTGGGATCTTGCCTAATTGCCCAGGCTGGCCTTAAGCCTTAAACTCAGATCCTCCTGTCTCACTCGTCTTTTGTGTAGCTAGGATTAATAGGTGTGTGCTGCTGTGCTCTGCCATATATATTTATTTACTTCATATATTTTATAAAATATATATATTTACAAAATATATATTTTCGCCCCCCCCCCGGTACCTGGAGCTGAATCCATAGCCTTCACACTGAGCTACATCCCCAGCCCTTTTTTAATTTTTTATTTTGAGAAAAGGCCTCTCTAAATTGCCCAGACTGGGCTTGAATTTATCCTCCTGCCTCAGCCTCCTGGAGGGCTGGGATTATAGGTGTATGCCATCTACTGTGTATATAGTTTTATACATATATATATATGTAAGCATAGAGGTTTTTTGGGAGGAAGGAATCTGAGAACTAGAAAGCTTTTCAGATGGTACCAAACAGTTCCAACTTTCTGATTCTCATAGTGCCAGATTTTCAAGCTTTAGTTACATCATTTTAAAGATGCTAACATTTTAAGTGGTGTCTGTTAAAGTGATTGTTTATCAACTTGAAATGTCATCAACCTCCTGAAGAAGCTGAGTTAGAGATCATACACTGGTGGCCCACACTTGTTTTATTTGGCCCGTAATTTGTAAGCTTTTGGAAAATTACTTGCTAACACTTATAACTTGAAAGATTTTATGTAAAACTTCACTTTGTTTTGAAGAACAGGGTATCTAATAATGGTATTTTATGTTCTGTATACTTAGGATTGAAACCAGAGCTTCACACATGCTAGGCAAGGGCTGCAGGGCTGAGCTACATCCTCGGCCCTTTTTAAAATTTTATTTTGAGACTGGGTCTTGCTAAGTCATGAAATTGCCCAGGTTAGCCTCAAACTTGCAGTTTTCCTGCTTCAGCCACCCAAGTACCTGAGATTACAGGTGTGTGCCACCACTTCAGACTTGATAACACTGCAATTCTGTGTGCCAACAATTAGTTGAAGACAAGCAGCACCTTCAGAAAAAGCACTAACACTCCTACTTTGCCAGAGTCCCCACTGTTCTTATTTCTTAACTCTTATTTCTCTAACTCTTAGATGAAATGTCAGTTGACAGTTATTATTTCAGCATTTCTTCACCCATCATCAACTGTTTCGTCCAAATTCCTTGGTTGCACTGTACTTTGTGCCCTACCAAAGAGGACACTGTAACACAACTCAGGCGTCAAAAGTCACTCTATAGAGCCAGGCATGGTGGCACATGCCTGTGATACCAGCACTCAGGAGGCTGAGGCAGGAGGATCGCCTCCAGTTCAAGGACACTCTGGGCTACATAGTGAGTTCAGGGCTAGCCTGTACTACAACATGAGACCTTGTCTCAAACCCCCCTCCCCAAAGAAAAAAAGTCACTCTATGGGGGTCAGGTGTGCTGATGTGCACCTATAATCCTAGCAATTGGGAGGCTGAGGCAGGACCATCACAAATGAAGGCCACCCTGGGCAATTTAGTGAGACCCTGTCTCAAAATAAAAACTAACAAATAACAAAGGGCTGGGGATATAGATCAGTGGTAGAGTGTCCCTGAGTTTCATCCACAATACAGCCAAAGAAATAACCCAGAAAATAAAAACACAAAGAAACAAACCAATGGGGGAAAAATCATTGTGATGCACAATCAAAAGGATATAGTAATTTTGGATGTAGTTTACTTAGTACTGATTGTAGCAGTATTTGTCAGTCTTAGTTCCTGATATTTAGTAGTTTCTGGATTATGGTTTAAGTGCCCAATACTCTTATTTCCAGTGTTGGGGTTCAAACCAAGGGCTTCATGCATACTAAGCAAGCCCTCTACCACTGAGCTACACATCTAGCCCTAGATTTTTGTTTTTGAGATTGTCGTGAAGCCAGGCATGAATGGCACAGGCCTGTAATCCCAGCACTCTGGGAGGCTGAGGCAGGAAGATTGAAAGTTCAAGCTCACCCCGGGGCAACCTAGCCACTTAGCAAGACCCTGTCTCAAACAAATAAAAAATATAGAAGGAGGGGGTAGTGGGGATGTAGTCAGTGCAGATGCCCTGGGTTCAATCCCTAGTACCCCAAAACAAACAAGCAAAAAAGCTGATTTGAAGCACATGATTAACATGAGGCTGCTCTTCCCAGTTGCTGAACAGAATGACAAGGTTCTCTTCCCTTCCACCTCTGCCATGCTTGGAAGATTGGCATGTATTTCACTGTGGTCCAGGACTAACTTACAAATTGGGACCAAGTTCTTCTGCTAAATTCTATTTCTTTGCCCTCTCAGTCCACAGATATATATATATATATATATATTTTGATACCTCTTACCTTTTTCCATCTCTCTGAAATATGTCTTGTCCTTTCTTTCTAACTTAGGTATCTTTTGGATAATCCAGATGTTGTCAGGGGAAAATCTGTGTTAGATCTTGGGAATGGATGTGGAGCTACAGCTATTGCTGCTCATATGAGTGGAGCATCGAGGATCTTGGCCAATGATATAGACCCTGGTGAGGATTTTAGATTTAAAAATATGTGACGCTTATCTTTTTGTTCTCTCAGGAAAAATATGTGCAGGTGCTTCAGTGCAAGAGTTTACAGCTGTGTGTGTTTTGTACTCTGCTATTGTGAGACTGTGTTCAGTGGGACATTATCTGTGGGAGTCATTATCTGAGACCTGAACTGATAAATGCATTTTTCTAGGAAGATTCGTATTTGTGTCTGCCAGCCCTCCTGGAGGGACACCAACCTGGGAGCACTTAAATCAGTTTGTGAGTTAGGTGATTCCCCTGAAATATAGAAGTAGTGTTTATTTGAGCTAAACCCCAAGTGAAGCAAGGTCTGTGTCTTTGTGGGAGATTTTTATTCATCTGGACCCAAATTGGGACAAATAGGCTTTTATTTTATCTCATTTTCTTCTGGTCCACCCTTACGCTGAGGATTCAGCCCTTAGTAGCCCTTGCTTCATACAGAGGTCTCAGTTCTAACCTGCTGCCTTATTTAAGCCCCAGCCTTATTTCCCTGTCCACGAGGTGGGGGTTGGGGGGGGACCCCACAGATATCCTAGGTATTGTTAAGAGTAAATCTTCTAAAACCCCAACATTGCCAGGTGTTCTGTATTATTTCTTTTGTTTTTAGAATATCTAGTCATATATTTGGAGGTTGCACTATATAACTTATAAAATTATAAAATTTAGAGTTCTTTACCAGAAAAAAACCCACATTTAACAAAAAGGCAAATACTATTATTAGGAAGTTTTAAAAATTATTTAAGTTAATCAGTGGGGAATTAAAACAGTCTGTGGTATATCCAGTGTACTGATTTGTCATATGCTTTTGTAAAGTTGCAGGAATGGCTATTACACTAAACTGTGAATTGAATCAACTCAGTCCGTTTCCCATTTTAACCAAAAACATTTTAAATCTGGAACAAGATCAGTGGGACCTTGTTGTCCTTGGAGATATGCTTTATGACGAAGCTCTGGCCGACAGTCTTCATGGGTGGCTGAAGAAGTGCATTTGGACCTTTGGAACTCAAGTACTCATAGGTGACCCTGGGCGGTCCCCATGTAGTGGGCACAGCATTTGGCATGACCTGCACAAGGTGGCAGAATACTCACTTACAGAGGCCACCAGGCAGCAAAATAATGGCCTCACAACAAGCGCAGTCTGGGATTTCCAGCCTTAAGATGTCAAAGTGCTTTTAAGTATGAATATAGTTCTCTTTGGATTTAATCCCCGAAAATATTTTCCCTGTAAGAGACACTCTCCTGTTCAGTGGCATATCTTGTTTCCAAAATATAAAGGTTTCAAGTTTTGTTAGTCAACCTTTGTCACATAACTAGTGCTTCATTTCTAAGGATGCCACTTGTACAAATCTCTATCTGCAAGTTTTTGTCTAGTTTTACTGTTGTAGGGATATGATTATGGAAAGCAGTACCCAATGGTGGTAGCATGTAATTCAAGTAGTGGGGAAGAATAAATATTGTAGCAGAATCGGTCTCTCTAGTTGAGGGCCTTGTGGTACCGGAGATTAACCCAGGCTCTAAGGCGTGCTAGGCAAGTGCTGTACCACTGAGCTATATCCCCCATCCTATGATGTATCTTTGAATTAAACAAACAAAATGCAAAATATGGAATACTGGGTTTTTTATTCATGGTACTGAGGTGTGCATTCAGAGCCTTATCACTGAGCTATATCCCTGGTGCACTCACTTTGTTTTTTTTTTTTCTGAGACAGGATCTCAGTCACTGAATTGTCCACTCTGGACTCAAACTTGTGATCTTCTTATCTCAGCCTCCCAGAGTGCTGAGATTGTAGGTGTGTACTACTGTGCCTGACAGAATACTGTTTTGTTTTGTTTTTAAGTATAGTACAGAGTATTTAGAAGTGAGGCAACTCTGTCACTTTGTAGCTGAGATTTTTTTCAAGCTTCAATTTCTTCATGTATAAAATAGTAATAAAATTGAACAGATCTCATCTCAATGGTTATTGTATTAAATCAACATATAAGGTGCCTAATAGAGCACTTAGTATGCGGTAGGGCCTCAACAATAACCACAAAAGGTCATACTACTTAGTAAGTACCTGCACATAGTGTTCACATATATTAGCTGCTGCTAGCTGCTGTCACATGATTTCTTTGTTCCAAAACTCCACCATGGCTTCTAGTGTCTACAGAATAAAGTTCAGGAAAAGTACTGTTAAATTGGATCCTGATGTACTTTTCTGTTCTTACAGTACTTGCCCCTCACCCGCCAGAATTTTTGCAATACTTGTTCCCCATGCCCTCCAGCTTCAGTGCCTTTGCTCATGCTCTTTCTTCTTTTAGAAACTGCCCTAATTGTGCTGCTTCTTCAGGCTGCCCTGCTACTCCCCTATTCCCAAATGTACCCTTATAGCTCAGGATAAATTCAAGCTGCTTTGTAGACTGGAGCAGGCTGGAATTAATGCCATCCTCTGTGCCACCACAGCACTTCACGTTTAGCTGTGGGAAGTGTAAATTTTATCCTAATTACAGAAATGCACAAACACATTTTTCTCTCCCACTAGACAGAACCCCTGTGATCTGCATATCTTTGGACATTCCTAAGTCCCTCACCCAGTTTCTCATAAATACAAACCTGAGGAAAATTATTTGGTAAGATAATTGTTCATCTGAAGGAAATAATTTAAACATAATATCTGAAATGGAATGTCATTTCCTTTCACAACACTTAACTAGCCTCTAATCTGTTTGCATCTACTCAGTAGACTGTGTGACCTGTAGAGTTGGATGGAGGAGGTTTCCTGACCAATAGTTGGGATTACTTATACCAGTGGTGGTGAACCTATAGCGTACATGGCACAGCTGGCTGTTTGTTATCATTGAAAGCTCTAAAAGTTTCACCATCACTAACTTATACTATAGAGTCAATATTTTTGACTTTGTACAAAGCTAAAATTTATTTGCAATCCTAAAATAATCATAATCAGTAATGGATCTCCAAAGTGGGAGAAAAACCAGAGTTGCCTTGTACGTGTTCCCAGCTGAGGAGGAACAGGCTAGGCTCTGCCATCTTGTTTCAGCTCAGACTTAACAAAGTGTCCTTTCAACAGTCTATATTGTGCCATGTTTTTCACATTTTTTTGTACTATTTGTTCAAGATTGTGCTGTTTAAAATGGTCCCTAAGCAAAGAGCTGGGTGTGTGGCACACACCTGTAATCCCAGCATGCAAACTGAGGCAGAAGGATTGCCACAAATCAAGGCCAGCCTGGGCTACATAGTGAGTTCAAGGCCAGCCTGAACTACATTAGTGAGACCCTGTCTCAAAAACCAAAACAATAAAATGGTCCCCAAGCATAGAGCAGAAGGGCTGGTTAGTCTCCTGAGGCAAGAAGGGTCTAAGAAAACTCAAGGTCAGGCCATTCAGGCCTGTGTTACATACAGTGTGGTTAGTCATGAGGTCCATGTTAATGATTCAGTAATTAAACACAGTGTCTAAATAGAAACACACATAAAACAAGATTATGTGTTGATCAGTGGACAAAAACATTGTGAAAAGAAGCTGACAGGAACCTAACTCTGTATGATCCCTAGGAAAAGTAATTCAGGGTTCACAGTGATTTTACACACTAAAACTACCAGAAAATACAAGAATCAACTGATTACATCAGATAAACCATGTAAGCACTCAGGAGTACACACTTGTTTTTTCAGCTCTACCTTCTGAAAATATAGTCTGGCCACAAAGTAAGGAAACAAAAAATTACCTGCTATAGGCAATAACACTGGAATCACTTACAGTCTTACAAGAAAGAGCTTCCTGCTCTCTTGGCTGCCAATGGGAAGAAGGAAAAGGAATCAACAGCCCAGGGGCTGCTGTGGTGCAATGGAGAGATATTGCTGTTTTCTCTTTCGAGAAATCTAATGTTTGAGGGCTACTTTATTATTTCCTGCCTCATACTTGCTTTTTAACTATCTCAATTTAGGTAAAAGGCTTCAGAAGTATTCTGTGCAAGGCCTTGGGAAAGACCAATGTAGACCACTGTACATATTCAGCTTGACAAGACAGTAGCCATGTTGACTGTAACTACCATTTTGCCCACTGGGTCACCCTGACTTGAATTCTAAACCCTATAGGATAAACAAAGACATTAATACAGCCAAGCATTTTTTTTTTTTGCCACCCATTGATACCAAGACTTTCTTCACTGCATCTGACATATGAATAGTTTTGGCTTTTGCAATGCTAGGGATCAAATTTTTGGTCCTACACATGCTAGATAAGTGTTCCACCACTGAGCCACAGCTCCAGCCCACAAATAATTTTTTTAAAGAAAGCCCATGTACACTGAAGTTGGCCGTACCCCACCTTTGTCTAGCTTAACATATAAATCCCTCCTCCTGCCTCAGATTGTGGAGATCCTCATTTTGCTGCCACCCAGTATAAGCTTCTGTCCAGAATTTCCTAATAAATTGTATTGTGCAATCCTGGATTTTTCTGCCTCATTCTTCATATTCTTGGCACTTTCTGCCATTGGCAGCAGGTTCTCATACACTGGATTTTCCTGGAACAACCTAAAAACAACTCCAAATCCCACTTTTCTAAGCAAACAACACATTCTGTAATTTATAAAAATTTATAAGGAATAAAACAATTTACCATCAAATCATCCTAAACTTTGGAAAATGCCTCAGAAGTCACATTTCCGTTGCCAAAAGGTAGCTTTGAGGAGAAAATGGCTTCTGGACATCAATGTATAGCTGCTTCCCCACTTACGACAAACCTGCTGCCAACATCATATTAAATGGGAAGAAACTGAAAGCTTTCCCTCTACAATCAGGAACAAGACAAGGATGCCCATTATCACTGTAAGGACATAATCTGGATCTATGTCTCACTAAGTCAAAGAACAAAATTGAGAACAAAGGAGGTAGACAGGAGGAATGTTCATTAAGAAGAGAGAAATAGCTGCCAGGAATCAGGAAGGAACCTGAAAATAAGTTGGCATGGGGACTCTGTCTAGGAGTTTTTATACCAAAAAATGGCCAGAGTTCAGACCACTCTGAGTTAAACTATGGACTACAGGTCAACCTACAGAGCTAAAACAAGCTTCTTTAAAATAGAAACAGGCCTGTGAGATGTCCGTGCACATAGCAAATGTACGTCTTCATGTGCCTCTTGGCCTCTGTATTATCTAAGTGGTTTATTAAAATAACAAAGTGAGAAGGAAAGAAACATTCTCCAGATAGGTAGGAGCAGAAGTTCTTACAGTGATCATCAGTCACCTTGCTTCTTACCTCACTTGTTAGTTTCTGGACTTAACTGTCCAACTGCTTTTTGTTAACTCTTGACTTCAGGCTTTTGCTTATCTGACCAAGGCCTGATCATCTTTGCTTTATCTTGGACCCAGTGCCTCTCTAGCTGTCTGTCATTGTCTGCCTAACATGTCTGTTTATAATATCAACAGTCCTATTCAATATAATACTCAAAATATTAGCCAGAGCAATCAGGCAAGAGAAAGAAATAAAAGGGATATGTGTAGGAAAGGAAGAAGTCAAATAATCATTATTTGCAGATGACATGATCCTCCACAGAGAAGACCCAAAAAATTCCACCAAAAGACTCCTAGAATTAGTAATAAAATTCAGCAAGGATGCAAAATCAACACACAAAAATCAATAGCATTCCTGGACACCAGTAATGAACTCACTGAGAAAGAAATCAGGAAAACAATTCCATTCACACTAGCATCAAGAAATATTAAATAGTTAGGAATTAACCTAACAAAGAAAATGAAAGACTTCTACAATGCAAACTACAATGCTCTGAAAAAAAAGGAGATGGAAGAAAACATCATAATAGGGCAAGATATTCCCTGTTCCTGCATAAGCAGAACCAATATTCTCAAAATGGCCATACTTCCAAAACCGATATACAGATTTAATGCAATCCTAATCAAAATACCAATAGTATTCCTTACAGAACTAGAGAAAACAATCCTAAAATTCATGTGGAACCAAAAGAGACCCAGAATACCAAAAAAAATCCTGGCAACAAGAGCAAAGCAGGATACATCACCATCTCAGACTTCAACTTACATTACAAAGTCACAGTGATGAAAATAGCATGGTACTGGCATCAAAACAGACATGTGGGTCAATGAAATAGAAAAGAGGACCCAGAAACAACCCTAGGCAATTCAGCCATCTGATCTTTGACAAAAAGGCCAAAAACATACACCAGAGGAAAGATACTCTCTTTAACAAATGATGCTGGGAAAGCTGGCTAGCCACATGCAGAAGATTTAATCTAGAGTTCTAGACCCATTTCTCTCACCATGTACTAAAGTAAAATCAATGGATCAAAGATCTAAATGTTAAAACACAAACACTTAATCTACTGCAAGATAAAATAGGTAAAACTCTTGAAGACCATAGGTGTAGGCAAGCACTTTCTGAACAAAACTTCAAGTGCACAAAAAATACCATCAAGAATCAACAAATGAAATCTTATCAAACTAAATGTTTCTGCACAGCAAAGAAACCAATCAACAGAGTGAAGAGGCAACCTTCAAAATAGGAAAATAATTTTGCCAGCTATTCTTCAGACAGAGGACTAACATCTAGCGATATAAAGGACTCAAAAAAAATTAAAGACTCAATCAAAAAAATGGGCAAGTGAAATGAATAGATGCTTTTAAGGAGTAGAAGTACAAATGGCCAATAAATACACTAAAAAATGTTCAGCATCTCTGGCCATTAACGAAATGCAAATTAGAACAACACTGAGATTCCATTTTACTCCAGAAAGAATGGTTATCATTAAGAAATCAAATAATAACAAATGTTTGCAAGGTTATGGGGAAAAATAAAACCTTTTACATTGTTGGTGGGACTGTAAACTAGTACAGCCATTATGGAAATCAGTGTGGAGATTCCTCAAAAAACTAAAACTAGAAATTCCATTTCACCCAGCTATTCCCCTTCTATGTA